TATGTGACGTCATACACCCAAAATCGTTGGGGTGACTGACAGGGCACGTGACTACATCCCTGCCAAGTTTCGTAATCACAGGTTGTATTGCCGCGGAGAAAGTGGGACAGGGGCCACCAGAGGTGCGTGGGGCCACCAGACGTTGGTGGAACGTGCCAAGCTTACTTGCTTCTGTCATTCAAATTGGCTGTCGGCGATCTCTCAAATCAGATGCCTACAATTAGCCATTCCGAGGTTGAGGAAAAAACTGGCTGGCATCGACATTTAAGTGCATAGTGGAACTACGGACGTATTTCCAAGATGTCGTCTCTTTTGTCCCCTAAAGTCCCATAATACACTGCAATTCCAACCCGACCCAGTTTTTACCACATCCTTGTAATTGCTAATAGACACAAGAACAACCTATTGATTGATAGGGCACAGGGTTACCAGTAAATCACAGTTTACACATACACACCTGTTGGGCTGTACGGCATTGTGCATGCGTAGCCAACTTGCCCTTCTTCTACACAATGTGACAATTTTCATTCATAAATCGGTACAGAACTGAAAAAAGAAACAAAAACTTATATCAGCACCATATATAGCCCCGGGTATTTGGTTTTCGCAAGCCAAAATGGCACGGTAACGATATGGAATTTCTTGAACCAATCGCAACGCAGCGCGCGACGTTTTTCCGATCTGATTTTTTTTGGGGGGGAGGGGTCAAAAAATGTAATTGCGCACGTATTTTCTATACATGTTAACAGAGCAGCACGACTATGACTGATACAGCTCAGTGATACGCTGGTATACGACCATCGTGCTCAAAACCAGTCATTCCTGAATCTTAAGAGAAAGTACAAGAGCAAATCAAAAGCCAAGACAATAGCACAGGTAATAGACAGATGCAGCATTTTTACATCAGATCAGAGTATCGAAGGTTTGAAGAGACGTGCGAGCAACTGCAGTACACATATGATGATAACTGAGGTAAAACAATTAAACGTCACTGTCAATCGAGCGACTAGAGTATGGGTGATAAACACAACAGAATGGCACGGAAAATTATGTCTACAAGAAAATAATGAAGCTGGGGCCTCTTGACTTCTACTTGTTTCCACGTGTCAAACAACATGTATGCCTAGCACGGCTATAAACTAAGAAAAAATAACTACAGTCAAAACGGCTCAAGCTTATTCCCTAGTTTTGAATCGGCTATTATTTTGAATTCTGAGTCTTCGTATTCTCAGAAAGAATACGAATATCTGAATGATGAAACTAATTAATTCCGGAAACCTAGGAGGGACTGCTTGAACACGCCGTTTTAACTGTGACAAGTTTCAATTTCACTGACTAAAAGAATAGCAGTTGCTAAGGAGACCTGACAAAAAAAATTTCATGTGGTAATGACCATCATTATAAGGAAGGGCGATTGAAGAAATGTCTTTTGTTTCCTGGCATAATTCTAGGATTTCCCCCTTCTACAGTGACTGGCCAAGCCCGTCTGAGTTTACCAAAAAATTCAGCGATGCATTATAGACTAACAAAATAAATATCAATGTATGTCAATGGTTTAACATTCGACCTTGTATGTATGAGAACAATGAACTTCAATTATTCATTACTTTCGTAGGCTTTGTTTAACGTCTTCACATGATACCGATCTAGATCACTCATGCTTTGGTAAAAACGAAAATCCTGTATTTTTTTATCCTACAAATCGCATCAGTATCGGTACCAGCACTTGACAAGTATTGCACTTAGCAGTACAGAAAAATACTAGAAAATTAATAGACTGATTAAACAATTGGAATTCCTAGGGAATCGCTTTCGCGTAAGTACAGAGTTAATAAAACATTTTCATCAATTTTCCAAAATAGTGATGGAGTTACACAGCATTAATATTATCAATAATTTTCTTGAAAATGTCTCGAATAGCTTTGCATGCGTTTGAATAACAAGTGTCAGATGCTAATTAAGTATCTGAAGAAAGAAATGATAAAAAATGGAATGTCTCAATGCAGGATTTGATCTTAAATTTWAAAAAAAGCATTTCAGAGGAATCGCGAGACGTTGTTATAGCATTTTATGTTCTTAGTCGAAAAGTTTCGAGTTCAATATATCATATTTACTCAACGATTGAATGCAACAAATTCACTTTTTCACCGACAGAAGAAAAAAAAATAGTCGAAACAAATTTTGTAAAGCTGCAATAAGAGAAATCAATGCATGCTTATGTCGGAAGACCTCGAATGATTAAATAATATATTTACTTTTCTTGAGCATCCTTGATCTCATTCAGGTGGTATTTGATGCTGTCTAGTAAGGGCGCGGCAAACAGAATGGGAATAAAATAAGAAAGGATATAAGAACAAACTGATAAATAAAAAACACCAATACCTTGCACTTGCAAGACATTCCTAGACCATATAAACCCATTTCAAGGCCATGTCTGTTTAGTATTCTCGACAAGGTGGTCTGATGTTGATGTGCGATGCTTTACCATCTGGCTGCATATCGCTATAATCACATGTGAAACTAGAAAGGTCCACGACCGCATAGCACCAGGGCCTCGGGCCATCCAATTACAGCCATGCACTGCCAAGCACCGATAGATGGTCCATAGCACAATAAGACTAGTGTTGATGAATGTACTAGACTCTGTGGGATGTTAGTCCTGCAATTGAGCGTCGACTAAATGCAAGTAGACTTAAACTGTCGCAATTACTGATTATTGAAGCGAAAAACCAACTCCTGCACGAAATAGCACATTTTAAAATCAAGAAAAGAGAAAGAAAATCCTCTCAGGTGCAGAAATAAAGAAACTAGTTGTTATTTTTCAGCACAGAAAGATTAGCAAGCTTATTCCCAGCGTGAATCAGATACAGAGGTTGAACGTGTGATGATAAAGCATACGGCGAAAATCGACAATTTGAGATTATCTCAACGAAATAATCTGTCAGAAATCCAAGTATAAGCTTTAATTTCTTTTATAGCCGATGGTCTCATAACGATTAACAACTAACGAAAGTTATGTTGGCAATTAATTTTTGATATTTTTTAAGTGCTTTAGACTAAAAATGTAAAACTTAGGACGTTTATTTTCCTAAGGGGGAAAGCCACAATCCAAAGAAAAATTACGTTTACGTCAAACCACAACGAGCTATGAAAATATTTAATTATGTATAAGTCGCAAACAAGAAAATCATAAAGCACAATTAAAGCTTTGGTTCTCAGAAGCAAATATTCATCGCTTCCGGAACCAATATGAAGAAACACTTATAACTCATAGGGAAAAAAATCAAAAATAAAGATAAAATAGATTGGAAATGGTATTAAATAACATGTAACAGAAAATGCAGGAAATTTTAAAGATCTTATTAAAGAGAACGTCGCAAAAAAATTCATAGTTCTCGTTTTGTAAATTGCTGTTCGTGAGCAGGAACAATATATCTTTTGTACGGTTCATTTCCAGGGTTGCATATTTCACTTATATGCAATTTTGAGGCTCAAATCAATTAAATCAATTATGTTATTTTTTATCAAATTATTTATTACATATTCATTGTATTTTACTATCGTTGCTTATAACACTTATAATATAATATTTACAATATTTCATTAGATTTTATAATATAGTTTTATATTTGTTTTTAGACTATTTATTAAATTATTAGAATATTGCATAATTTTCAGTTACTGTATTTCATAATTTGTTAAGTTCCTACAGTTATAGTTTTTATGATTAATTTTATATTTTATTATATTAATATTATTTTATCTAATAATATTTTTTGATTTTTATTATTTATAATATATCCTACAATAAAAATATATCTATAAAATATAAAACTATTTTTATTATTTTTTAATATTAACAATTTTTTTTTATGAAATAGGCTTTATCGATTTGTTTTTTTATATGTGCACGTAAATTATAATAATATTATTATTATTAATAATAATTACAATAATATTAATAATTATTATAATAATGATAACAATAATGATTACGATTGTTATTATTCATATTATAAACCAAGCTTCACCCATCGTACATTCACCCATCCATTCGTCTTATTTAACTTGAACAAATTTTATTGAAGTTCAAGTATATTCTTGAAGTTATTATATTGTCATTTTTACAATAATAGTGTGAAGTGAGTGTTCTTTATTCAATAAGATGGTAATGCAACTTTATAAGTCATAACAGTATTGTCCATCATCCCAAGTACTATTTCTTTCTCATTATTGATGTTGGTGCACAAAACAGAATGAAGCCATTCCTTTGTATCAAGTTTTTTAACAAGTTCCTGCTGTTGAAACACCATCAAAGCATTAAAATGTCCAGCACACAGCAAGAAATCAGTGCCATTTGCATGCCCATCACCTGGAAAGGTAGCCAAATGGGTCACCGGCAACTGAACACTAGCATAAGGTTGCAGCTGAAAATTACTCAATATGTATATACTTCCTCCTTCAGTTGCTATGGCTACCTGAGGCTGTCGGCTGGATGTGATGCTCTGTTGCCAAGGACTCCCAAAAGATTGAGAAGGTGAAAAGAGCTGGGGAATGATAGGAATGAAATATCCAGGAGACATAGCAGTCACAACAGATGTTACCTGTAGTTTGAAGACAACCATTCCATTTTGTAAAATGAAGAGGTTTTTGCAGTTATCTGCTACAAGGAGGTAGTTAGCAGGTGCTCCACTGCTTGTTGGTAGTCGCACAGATAACATGCACTTGACTGAAGTGGACAATCCCAATTGCTAAAAATATGAAAAACCAAGAAAAACATTTAGCAATCGCTGTCATCAATATCAAGGCAAAGGCTTGCAAGGTTCTTATATGTACAATATACTTGTTTAAAACTTTTCATAATTTCATATTTTGTATCCTCTTCTTTTTCCTCTTAGATGTAAATCTGTTGCATATTTTAATCAATTTTGAATTTAAAGCTATTAATATTATTCTCATTTTCATTCTTCATCTTTCATTCTTCATCTTTCACTCTTCTTCTCATTCTTATTATCATAATATAATATTATCATCAACAACATCATCTGCATCATATATTCATGCATCATCATCACCATCATCCTCATCATCTCCATAGCTGTCATCAAAATCATCAATATCATGATCAGCATCATCCTCATCATCTCCATAGCTGTCATCAAAATCATCAATATCATCATCACCATCATCCTCATCATCTGAATAGCTGACATCAAAATCATCAATATCATCATCACCATCATCCTCATCATCTGAATAGCTGTCATCAAAATCATCAATATCATCATCACCATCATCCTCATCATCTCCATAGCTGTTATCAAAATCATCAATATCATCATCACCATCATCCTCATCATCTCCATAGCTGACATCAAAATCATCAATATCATGATCACCATCATCCTCATCATCTGAATAGCTGTCATCAAAATCATTATCAATATCATCATCAGCATCATCACCATTGACACATATAAATTGGTTAAAGCGTCACTAATACAAGCACTATCAATATGAAGGTCTCAGTACATAGTATCATCAATCTGAGTACAGATGTGTGTGAATTCTTTATAATAATGTATACAGTGTACATAAACATTCACCAAGGTAATACACTCTTATTATGATGACTGAGTGTAAGTCAGCATCCAAATTCTTCTACAATTGGTATAAACATGCCTTGTGCATCTGTTTACAAGCATCCTGTAGTCTGAGCTTCCACAGACTGCCATAGGGTGAAACTGCAGTAACCGTACCTTCATCATCACCCACGACTATAGCTAAGTTCCCAGCTAAAACACAAATCAAACTTCTAACTTAAAGATATAAAAACAAAGTCAAAATACAATACTTTCAGATAATTTCACTCAAGCTCAGAATATAACGAATAGCCCCTTAGACCTTCCAACCCTTTGGAAATGCCATTGCCCCCCTCCCTACCCCCAGTGAAGGAGACATGGATATTTCCTAGAAATACAAAATTTACCCTCATCCAACCTTATCCAGCTTATCCATAGGATAGTATGAATATTATGAAAAATATACCCTTCTAAGACCCTCCCTACCCCTTAAAAATTCCAATTCCTCTCTAAGGTGTTTTTCTGGAAACCTCCACAATATATCCTTCTTATACCCTATGAACCCATTGGGAATCTCCGTATGTGGAGAGGTATGAATAATTTCTGGAGCTAAACAGTATATCCTTCTTGTACTTTTCCATTCTCCCCTCTTTGGGACATTTTCTGGAAATAACATGTACATATTCCTCTTTGCATTAGGTTAAATTCAAATTCGATCTTGGGATATATTCCTGAAGGGATTAACGTCACATCTCCTTTCACGCTATAATACAAATAAAATTGGTTATGTTATCCATAACTGAACTGCAATCTACTGTGTTAACATACCAAAGTCTTCATCAACAGTTAGTGCAGTTATACTGCCATGAGACAAGACTCTTCGATTCAGTATCTGTTCATTGCTGAATATTGTAAGCATTCCTTTGGAATCACCAATTATCAGATCTGTGGAGCCAAACTTAGTCACATTGTGGAGGTGAAGGCATTGTACTGGTCCTCCTTTGCTTTCAAGTTTAGAAATTTCCTATAGGAATAAAAATCGGGAAACTTTCAAGTATATTCGAAATATAATATCACTATCACAATCATCATCATCATCAAGCAGTATGATACATATACAGATACATATGCATTACAATATCTTAAACAGCATCATCCATTTACATCACCACTGTCATCATCATTATCATCATAATTATCATCATCATCATCATACAAGGTATCATGAATGAGAGTACAGACATGTGTATGACAACATCTTAAACAGTGTAATCCATTTACATCAACACTGTGAATATCATTATCAAGATCATCTTCATCATCATCATCACCATCATACAAAGTATCATGAATGAGAGTACAGACAAATGTGTATGACAATATCTTGAACAGTGTAATCCATTTACATCACCACTGTGATCATCATTTTCATCCTCATCCTCATCATCATACCTGAAAGTTCTGTGATTGAAGATCCTTAATAGTAGTATAGACTCTGATTGTTCCATCATCACCACCTGTTATTAAACAAAAATCTGGGTATCTGCAAAGAAAACAACCAACATTAGAAACTCCCTTTTTTGATGTTCCTTCACAGCTATGTTTGTACATATAACATGGTTCCAATAGAAAAAATGAGTAATTTCTTTTTGTTAAAGTTTTTGATCTAAGGTTATCAATAAAAATAAATATAACAAGAAGTGGGAAGGATTGATGATGTGCACTGCTGATGCATCAATCATCTCTCACTGCTGGTTAGTAGGTTCCCTCCTATGCTTCGGAAGGTTTTTCTCCAGATTCTCCAGTTTTCAACCCTCAGAAAATAAATTTGTAAATTCCAGTTCACCGTCAAGTGGCTCCCTACTCTTTGATGAAAAATAAATTAGGTGGTTTTGATTTTTAGTTTTGATCTTTTTTAGGGGGGAGGGGAGGGGGAGAATCATCTCCACAGGAAGCCCATGAAGTCAAGCTACTGAATCGAAAAAATTAATGCAATAAATGAGAATTAAAGAAAACTTAAGTATTTAACGTCTTCTTATGAAAAAAATCATGTTCAACGTAACTATTTAAAACAATACACTTCAATTCAAAGTTTGGGATTCCTGCGTTACAGGGTATTAGAATTTAACTCGTTAGGCGTTACTCGCAAATCAAAGCTGATAAACGAACCGTTGGAAGGAAAAGATATAACTAGCTAAAAACTAGTGTGAGCTGCGTCGGTGTTTCTAATGAAACAGTAATAGTCAGGTGGCTAAGTGGTCAGATCTATACATAGCAGACAAAAGCACCAAAATTGGCATAAATGTAGATTAGAGTATGGTAATCAATATTAGGACCGGTGCCCATTTCAATCTCTTCAGGATTCCATATTAATTGGACTTTAATTTTCTGAAAAAAGTCAGTTATGGGCTCCCTGTGGTCAATATCTTAAAAATGTGGATTTTGGCCGATATT